TGACAGGAGTCTTCTGGTATCTTGAGACAGGGCACTGAACTTAGAGCAGAAGGAATGGCTTCTTTAAATGAGGTTACAGCGGTATCTGATAAGCGTTGACTGTAGAAGCCCTTGGCAGGAGGAGGAGATTCCGGTAGTAGAAATTCAAAGGTTATCAGACAATGGTCCGACAGGAGAGGGTTCTGTGGAAAAATTGTTAAATGTTCAATCCCAATCCCATACACAAGAACCAAGTCGAGAGTGTGGTTAAAACAGTGAGTTGGTTTATTTACACTATGACAGAAACCAATTGAATCTAACAATAAAAGAAATGCAATACCAAGGCTGTCGTTGTCGACATCCACATAAATGTTAAAATCACCCCAAATAATTACTGTGCCCATTTTAAGGACCAAACTCGTTAAGAACTGTGAAAATTCAGAAAGAAATTCTGAATAAGGACCTGGGGCCCTGTACACTATTACAAAGAGAACCGGCTGGATTATTTTCCAGGTTGGTTGCGAAAGACTGAAAACCATGCTTTCAAATGAGTTATAATCCACCTTAGGTTTAAAGTTTATTAAAAGGCAGGAGTCATAAATAGCCGCCACTCCCCTCCCTCTGCCTGTGCCTCGGGGAATATGAGTATTAACATGACTCGGAGTCGCCGCTTCATTTAAGCTCAAATATTCCCCATTCAACAACCATGTTTCAGTAAGACAAAATATATCAACATGGTGATCAGATATTAGTTTATTTACTAAAACAGCTTAAGATGACAGAGATCTAATATTCAAAAGTCCCCCTTTAATTCTCCTATTTTGTTGCACTATTGCATTATTAGTTTTAACTTTAATTTCCACTGTTTAACAGCAAAGGTATTTGATGTACTTCATGTAGTTAATCAAATAGTTAGGTAGTTGGCTGAACAAAATACCGGGTGTGTATAATGTCACACCAAGAAGGTCAATCACAAAGTCATTACACACACACAGATACACAAATTAAAATGGTCATCCATATGAAAAAAAAGTCTCTAACTTCAATGAGTTGTACAGTTCATCCCAGTTGTAAGGTAGTGTGGGAAAACAGTCTTCCGTCTCCTCTCCGGAGTTGGTTTGAAGGGCTTTGAACTCATCATAGGATCTTTAGCCATTTGGCGATCCTTGTGTGACACAACTTGATTTGGTTTCAAATCAAGTGATTTGAAACCATCATCAGCAACAGTCTGGACACCACACATCATATATTATCCTCAACAGTGGTAGAAACCTTGGACAGATCTACAAATGTGGCATCACGAAATACATTCTTTGCATTATTAACGGTTACCTCTTCCAGTGATTTTTCGTAAAGACCATGTATTTTATCCAACACACGTGTGCAGATGTAAACCAGCCAACATCATCAGCAGCAGCAGCAGCAGCTGAATGATGATTGTCCACGAGGGTTAGAACTCATGTGTGCACTTCTTTGCACACCTCCCACAGCCACCTTGTGCTTTCTTGCTTCCCCTCTGAGCATCAGCAGACAAATGAGCCATTGATCAGGAACACAAATCAATGAAACTGCGAATGATCCTTTCAATTGCCTTGAAGTGTTATCTTTTTACTTTCACAAATTCAGCAGGCAGATGTTCTAACACCATGGGAAAATGAGAGCCGTCATCGTGACCGGCGCTTACATTAGTGCGGTTAACACCCTGACAGGTACAGATGCAAATGGGCATGTGCCTACGCACTTCCACCCCGAACGCTCATGAATAAAGTATGGAAAATTTGGTATCGTATGTTTGGGAGCATCACACTGGACTGTATTAATCACTGATTGAAATGGAAAGCTAAGGCTGATTTAATTGTACATTTCTGATAAGATCGCGTCAAACTGAACTTTGTGTACTTTGGGAATTTTGAAGTTTCATCTCTTTTCAAAAAGATGCTGGTTCAGCAGAAGGACAGTTTCACTGTGTTTAGTTTCGGGTTACAACATTTGATATATTTAACATACATTGCTTAAACGAAACGAGAAGGTTGTGTTTTGTTATCTCACTGGTACATATTTAAATGATTTACCAGCCTTAGGGCAGCTCACATTCTCCATGACGGATGAACTGAGAGGAAGTTTAAGTGACTAAAGAGTTCAAGCAAATGCCGGAGCGGCCTATATTGGTCACTCATTTCTGACTGGTTGAACAGGGTGTTGTCCCCCTGGTCACGTCATACACATTTCTCTTTTTTTTAGCCTTATTAAGACAACTCTGAAACAGAAGCACCCATGTCCTGTGAAGTATGATTGCATAACAATAACTGTTTCATATAAACAGTAACAGACACGGACCTCTGAAGAATTCAATGCAACACACACACATAAGTACACATTGGCAGTCAAACAGACAACAACATGTGTGAATGTGAAAGACAAATGTGGTGTATCTATTTGTAAAGACAGATGGATTTCCTCTAAAGGCACAAGTTCACTGTACAGGCATTCAATATGCACACACAAATGAAGATGTGACGCAAACGGTGGAGAAAAGGTGAGAACAATAGTGCATCATGGGGAATATCTGTTCTGCAAAGTGCAATAACAACTAATAGCATTACATCTTTGTTGATATAGTATCTCATATGGAGTGTGTGTTCCACTGTGATACATGTTCCACCAGGGGACTGAATCAACTGTATATGATATAAGCAGTCGGGTTTCAGGTTATGTGCTGCAGTATTGCTGACAGGAGATTGTATAGGACCGGATAGTGACAAAATCAGAAACAAAAGAGAACAAAGAGACACCTTCACCACAAGCACACATTGTTCTGCTGCCTTTTTCTCTGTGTTCAGTACAGTGACAATATGATAGGACTGATTCAGCTTCGCCTCCATTTCTAGGACACTGTTAACATAGCTGAAGGAAATGGTTTAATCAGAATAAGCAAGGCAAGAAATATTGCTGACTTTTTTTATCTGGTTAGAGCATTAATTGGCAGATTTTGAAGCCTCCAATGGATCAAACACATTTTCCAACTCACAGGATGATTAAAAATGTCATCAAATTATTACTTTGAGATCCACTCATTTATTTGAACGTTTACTTTTTTTTGTCTAAGTGGTAATAATGAAAATAAAAATAATTTCAGCGCTGCAGAGACTTTGCTAAAATATGTGGTTTGCTTTTTTTTTTATTACTGACAACTTTTGTGAAACTAGGAAACAAGTAGTTACCGATAGATATCTCATGATGGTGAGGACTGATAATACGTCATACTACACAAATCATATAGTCATCAATAGGCCTGAGACCCGAGGGATTGTGGGTGAAACTGGTTTCATCAGCAGTTGAGTTCACATCTGAGTTGTGTGGAAGGAAGACGAAAAACGTACAGAAATTTGCACTTCAACAACGATATGACTTAATAACCGACTCATAAACACTCTCCCATGCACATAAACAATGCCGCAAGTGTAATACCAGTATAAAACGTTTGAAATGCGGCTGCGACCAGTCGTGAAATCACACTGCTACAGAGATGCGCACACACACACACACACACACACACACACACACACACACAGTCAGGGCGCAAGTCAGAGGGATTTCCCATAAATTGTTTTACTGCTGACTAATATTATTTCAACGTGAATATTACATTTTTCTCACGTCATTTATTTGTACAAGTTCAATAACTAAGTTTGCTGGTCTGGTGTAACTTTACGTCTCACAATCCAACGATCTTTTTCCTGTTTTGTTTGTACTTACTAAAACCATTTATATAGTACCTTCCATCCATACCAGTAAAATGCTACACAATTAGCCTCCCATTCAATAATACATTTTAGTTTTATTTTAGTAGATTTCTAGTTTAATTAAGGAAAAATTAGAGTTTCTTGTTGGCTCAGTTATCTTTAAACCGCTGTAGTCATGTTGAGAGTTGTTGAGGGGCAGTAGTAATGCTCCCAATCTTGTTATTAGCCACTTAAATGCTAACAGTTAGCATTTCCTCAGACTGTGATTGGCAGTTAATCGTTTTTATTTTGGTATTGCTCAAATGTTTTTTCTTCAAGGACTTTCATGGCCAATGCAGGGCCTGCTCCTCGCATGTGGTTCAACTAAGTCGATCAATTAGCTGGCTTAAATTAACCCCAATGATTGATGTCAGGCTAATTGATAAACACCAGATTTTCCTAGAACAGTTTTTAGAATACCAACATTGCCCAACATAAATTGTTTCACAAAGTGTAATCCGGTTATGCAAAAAGACGTATGTCAAGAATAAATAGGCATTCCAAAATAGAGAAGAAGTACTGCAGAAAAAGAACCTGCAAGAGTCCCAAAACACTTCTCCTTTTATAAGTGTGTATGTATAAATACATACAAACATACATTGATACATATATGAAACCCTACCAAAGAGAAAGAATACCAAGACTTAAAGAGCAAAGATGACATGTAACATGGCTTAACTGACATCAGTCTTATCTGACATACACAGGGAAACCATAATGTCATCAAAAAATTAACCAAAACTTAATATCCTTTCCGACCACTATTTCCTATGTTACTGTGAATATAATGTAATTAATATTTGCATTCAAGGATCTATTTCGCATCTACAATTGATGAATATTAACATATTTGTATAATTATGAGAGTTTTGTAATAATAGTAAACTGAAAACAATGTGTAATTTAATATGATTAAAGTTTCGGTCGTTATTTGACAGCACAAATTGCTCATGTCTGCGGTCTCTCATTCTTTCGGGTTCCTAATGACATAGGGAGGAGTATCCCCATTGTGAAATATTCTAAGAACCCCAACAACCCCCCCCCCCCCCCCACCGTCATCTCTCAGTCTCTCAGGGAATTGAGAAAGGGCCTACATGGGTCTTCTGGCGAGTTTCTCATGAATGATGGGAATACAGTGGACCTTCTATTGCCCACCTCATTCGGGGCACTCGGGAAAACCTGTAGCAGTAAACAAACTGATCTGCTGAAAAAAGTGAAACAGAAAACCGCACCTACGTCCCGAGGGCCCACTCTCTGCCTCCACAAGACCCAGCATGACCCCCCGCTCCCTCCTCCTGTGCGCCCTGGTTCTCTCGTTCCTCCTCGGCAGTGCCCGGTGCAGTCCCGTGTGTAACAACCAGTGCTGTCGTTTCGTGGAGGGCTTCCCTGTCAGGCTGAAGAAGCTCAGACAGGACTATTCGCGGATCAGAGATTTCTTTGTGAGTAAAAGCACAACACCGACTCGGAAAGTACCTTGAGAGTTAGCGCAGCATCATTTGCGTTTGATCCCCCGTGTGGTCGTGTCAGTCTCCGGGTGATGCTGCACGTTCTCACATGTGTCTGCTTGCCTTTTGCCTCTGCTGCTGCTGACTGTGTCCCCGACCCTTTGTTGTTGACAGGAGGCAAACGATGACTTGGACACAGCCCTGCTGGACCAGAGCGTGGAGGACTCATTTAAAGTAGGCTGCCGTTTGAACACTCCCCCACCCCAAAAAATGCTTCTTAGGTTTTAACCAGAAAAAGAGAGTCTTTAAGAAACCAACAGGACAGAGACACGCATTGTGCTGCAGGACACCACATAACCGGGGTGGCGCTCTCCTCCCTCCTTTAGAGCCCGTTCGCGTGCCACACCGTGGACAGCATCCTGGACTTCTATCTGACCTCGGTTCTACCGACAGCCATGGCCGGAGTGACCGAGGACACCAGGGACCTACAGCCGCACATGGAGTCCATTCAGCGCATCTTCGACGGGCTCAAGAGAGATGTCTTCACCTGCGTGAGTGTCCGTCACACGTGTCACTGCAACAGGAGGTTGCGCGAGAGGAAGTGTCCGAGAAATGCAGCACACTTGACGTACATATAAGAGTGATTTTCTGTTAGTGCTGTGTAGGCTGCGTACATGTTACATGATGATGTGCATGTGTTTGCTTTAATTTCCACACAAAGTCGGGCAATCCATAGAAGGAAGATGAAACAATACGTGATTACTTAACTGTTAGTTGTCACAAACGTATAGTCCGTGTGCACCGCAGACGCACCATCAAAAACCACCTTCCTGGTTTCGACTACGTCCCCAAAAGTCCAATATGGCTGGTGACCAAATGGGGAAGCATTGCGGGTCTTAATTATTCATTAGTCAGCGATTCTTAAACTGCAGCGGCTTGCAGAACTGCGCATCATCGAGTTCTTACAAAACGGAAAGGGACGTGGTGGCACGCTACCCATTAAATACGTGTTCTGGGCCTGTAGTGGGTGGAAGTCAAATTCAGGAAATGTCGAATGTTCATAACATCATCTTTCTATTGTTTCCCTTTAGAGAAAGTACTTCTCCTGCATTAAACCGTTTGACATCAACAATTTAAACTCTACTTACAACCAAGTGAGTGTCATGTTTAATTGTGAAAGTGTTTGGGTTCTTTAAAAAAAATCATATGTGCATTCCTGTATTTCGACAATTATGAAAATAGAACTATATGTTTTTCTGCAGATGGAGAGTAAAGGTCCATACAAGGCCATGGGGGAGATCGATCTGCTGCTTAACTATATTGAGACTTATCTGGCCTCTCAAAGGCACAGAAACCCATTGGCCACTGTTTGAAGACCTGCTGACCCCCATCAAAATATCACCCTCATCATCGCAAGGCAACAGAAAAGACAGCATTGGACTCCTGCACTCTTTTTCATTCAATCCATTGTTTTCACTAGTAAGAGTTTTGTTTTTTGCTGGATTTAATGTCTTTGTTATTCTGAGACCCCCGTTTTTGTCCTGAGGACAAGTTTCTGTTTTAAGACCACATTGAGTCCTACACATGAAGCAACAATCAAAAACTGTGTTGCTTGGGAAGCTGTGATATTTATTTGTATTGTGTATAATATGTATTTTTGTATTTATGACTAATGTGTTGATGCCGATGAATAAAAGACTATTTGACAAGATACCGCCGTTAGCGTTTATTAGAAATGGGTAATTAGTAAAACACTGAAACATCACACCCTGCGGTTCTGCACGCTATATCTGGGGAACAACTTGAGCGTAACCTCAAAAAGAGGATTCACTAACCTCAAACGTGACCCATATACATCACTTACCAGCAGCAGCACTGCTGCATCTTGACTTACCGAAACTGTAACTAGCCAGTCTCACCCTGACGGCGCACAAACGCAGACATGCATGCACACGCACACACGTGCAAAAGCCATCACTCATTAGTCAGATACATCCTAAGACAGAAGTAGCAGACAGGGTGAAATAGCAGCCCTGCATGTATTTATTTCTTGTGCTTTTTCAGTTTTTTTAGAGAGGGTGTAATACATGAACTGTCCATTTAGATCTTTTAGCCACAAAAACATGCCCGTTTAAAAACATTTGAATGTGTGTATGCATTTCTCAGACTGCGCAGTCACACAAGATTCCTGACTTGACTCAGGCCTCTGCATTGAAACTACTCTAATGACATTTTCAGTCGCTTGCTTCGTCAACGTGGGATGATCTGAATAGTATCATTCCTGCAAAAATATCATTCATTAAGTTGTCTGCAAGAGCGTGGTTTTATTCAGACATTGTTAATAGCATTTCTTTAAGGGTGGATTACGTTAATGATGTTGTGTTCACTCCTTCAAACACTTAAGGTGTTGATTGAGACACATAACGCAGCATTTGAGATTGTTGTGTTAACATGCCGGTATAGATCACATCTGGCTGTTCGTAATGACTTGGTTTGTTTGTGCGGAGCACTGGTTTTGTGTTAGGGTGAGAAGCAAAGGAAGGATGCAAAAAGTGGTCAAAAAGGACATATCTACGAAATATTTGTTCCGAACACTTAAGATATCACAAATCAACTTAAGCCTACTTTGAAATACTCCAGAAACCATTGACGGGACCTTTACAAAAATACTAGGAGATTCCAAGCATTTTTTATGAATGAAAATGTAACGTAGAAAAAAAGCCTTCTTGTTCTTTATATCATCTTTTAACCCTCCCTCAACACAATACCCAATTTCTGAAAATAAGTATGCATATTTGTTCAAATGTATAGCGAGAAAGAAACAGACACTTCGGCCAAAGATGAAAAATGAAAGAAGGAAATATGATTCTCTAGTGGGAAAAAATATTTCAATAGGTGGATAGGCAACATTTTCATAGTTTGTCATTGTGTGTATTCATAAGGAAAAAATAGTTTCAGAAAAGCACTTTTCTTTCAAATCAGCAAAAAAAAGGCCAGCAGAGACAAAAAAAAGAAACGCAACCACAATAACCACAACAGGCTCCTTGAGCTGCACATGACTGTAAAAATCGATTTTCCAAAACATGAAAGATAAGCAACTTTTGTACATGTAGTAGTGACTACGAAATGGCTTTCCATTTGATTCAATGTGGGTTTCTTGCCGAGTGGTTTGTAAGGACGTCTTGCCTGCAGCAAGTCAAACTGCTCTGCGCTCGTGAAATAAGATGGCAATGTCACTTCAAAGAACTACGAGATGTCTAACCGCCTCAGCTGGGAAGTCTCCATCATACACATTTTTTCACGTCACGTTTTAAGTGTGTGTACACAGTGACATGCTGTGGAGAGGGGGGGGGGGGGGGTGTACATGTTAAGACTAGTGCATCGCTTCTTTTCATGTTGTGAACAAAATAAGAAGTTCCGTTCAACTATGAAAATTAATTATTTCAGAAGATGGATGGACCTTTAACCTTTCCTAGTTTTATACAATGATTCCAACAGGTCAGTTAGGAGAGGGCTACAGGTGGGTGTGGGTGCGCGGGTTGGGGTGGGCGGTAGAATGGCCACAGGATTACCATCCATCATGAGGGACTCCCCTGAAGACCCATTTAACCCCTTTCTCGCTTACCTGAGAGACTGAGAGATGACTGTAGGTTTCATCACACTCAGAGCTGGAAGCCGAGTGCCGACGGGTGCCTCGCACTTGAAGAGAATGCGCTTCTGCACTTGCGGGAAGCCACTCTAAACACCCCAGTGTTGGCAAATGTCTGTGTTGACTTGCGAGACCGCTTTGCCACGCAAATGTGTATATTCCAGAAGTAACTCATGCAACCAAGCACAATACAAGTTGGTCCTGAGTTGAGTGTGCACTCACAGACAAGAATGAGAAGAATATAAACTCATTGGGATAAAGGTCAAACATTTCACATGGATCGTGGCTCTATCAGGACACAGCCCTGCTGCAGCCATCATTATGTCACATTACCATTACTTTGATCAGTCTTTGTGCTTTCCCTCCCCACAGGTTTCTGTGGATGATGGTTATGTCTGATGGTGGTTGTCCCTGCACTGTCCTGCCTTACTACTGTCAATTTTTTAATAATTTGTTATATGCATTGAACGTACATTCTGTGCACGTGACATTGCATTCCATCCATCCCGGGAGAGGGATCCCTCTTAACGACTCAGGACCGTCAACACACGTATAACTAGTGGACAAGTTGGCCTCCATCATTAAGTGTTGAAAGGGTTGAATAGGAAATACTGCATTACCTTTTACCAATTTAATTAGCATGGCTTTGAAGAGAATGGTAACCAGAAAGCAACTTACCACATGCTTAAAATATTTTCTGAATTAGACATTTTGAAGAAAAACTACACTGCATGCAGAAAAAAATAGTAGGCTTGTGTTTGAGTGTTTTTTAATCGAAAGCTAAAGCAAACCAAAGTACGGCAGGTGGAGTTTAACAGAATCAGTAACAGCAATTTCTGCACTTCCACTACAAAAATTGTGTTGAAGGGGCCAAAAAGAAAAAAGCTGGGAGGACCCACTCAAGTCAAACTCTCAATGAACATTCTTACAATGGGATATTTGTAGGTGCCAAGCGACCGGTAATGTGTCGGGGATTTTCGGAGTGAAGGTGAACTGACAAAATGAACACAATCACTCCCCATGATCCTGTGTGAGGTGGAAGCGTCCAATTGGGTTGAAAAGACCATTGATGAGAACCCGACCACATCCCTATGTCAGTACGATGAGAGTTCCTATTCTGGGACAAGGAGCAGCTCTCGAGTAATTCTCACTTCCCATCACTCCTCCAGGAGGTAGGGAGGAAAAACGTTGGAGAACACTAGCATGTCACCAAACCCGTCCCACTGAGCCTCCTGACTGTTGAGCTACAGCAGCAGTTAAACAATCTTCTCAGAGACCCTCACAGCTTGCCCAGTATTCCCTTGATACTATGTTACTGCTTATAGAAACATTAACACAATGTTGCACATCTCTCCAACACATTTGCAAACAAAAACCAACAGAGAAAAAAAACGTTCTAGCAGTACAAGCTGACACACATCTGCATAGCATTAACCTGAAATATAATCTGGCAATGTTACCAATCGAGAACAATAACATTGGTAAAAAGCTTGAACCAAACAGGTAGGTAGGGGGTAAAAGTAATTTGCTGCTTTGGCAACACTCTGTAAGGCCTGCGCTAACGCCTACGCTAAAGTCCATGAAAAAATACAGTATTGGTCGGCTCCTACTCTCTTATGAGCTACATGCGGGAGAATGGTCAAGCCAGTTCCTGCATTTTAAAATGGCGTCCTTCTCTGCCCAATAAACTATGTACCTGAAAAACAAGCGTAGATTAAAGGTAGGAGAGCGGGGCCACTAGAGAGGTGCTCTGTCAGAGCGGCACATGGCCCTTGTGAGTGCATAGGCCGCTGTTCCACATTCATCAAGACAAACTGGACCTGACAGACACCGCCACTTTACCAGCTAAATCCAACAGTCAGGGACAGAGTCCTTACATTCCACTTGTCAGTCTAAAATACATCTTCTAACTTTGCATGTAGGTAAAAGAAAACTTCCCTTGATTTTATTTTTGGGATTTAGCCTTTTTTTTTTTACATTTACGAGTTTGGGGTTAGAGCTAGGAAGGGACTGCAGGACGAAGACTGAACTAATGCTAATGCTGAGGGCTTCATGTCCTATTTGTACATTCAAGCCCCTCCGAGTACACAACCTGATATTAGGGAAAGGAAGGATCTCACCGATTCACAATCCTCCCTGTCTCTATAATTCATAATCTCTTCACTGGTGTAAAAAACAGATAAACATCACCTCTGCCGGAACAGAGGGGTGGTTTTGTTAAAACGGTAGAGTAAGAAAAACAAACGCTCCTACAAAACATTAGAATTTGCAATGAAAAATAAAACACTGAGAAAAACCCATGCAACGTGACTCACGTGTCGACAAATTATTGCTTCCTTTTTACAACCTGTGTCTGGATGTGCATGCATGTGTGCAACTCTCAGTGGGCAGCAGATTGGGGGTCCGGCATGGAGTGACTGGCTTTCTTTCTCCTTTTTGTTAGCAGGGGATTGGTCGAGTCCTCAATGGTCTTGATCTTGATTTGCTCGTAGTCGACTCTCATTGTTGCCAAGGCACTGGTCATTTCCTCCTGAAAAACGCACCAAAAGAAGCTTGTTAGGTATTTTTTGGGGGTAACCTTCTCAATACTACTAGTCTCCAGTGCAACGCTACTTTCCACGTCACAGGCCATGCCCTAGAGACATGTCAGATACAATTGAATGGATCCTTTTACCCATAAAACAATTAAATTATTAAGGAACTTGAGCAGAATTGAAACAAAGGTAAATAAGACATCTAACCTTGACATCCTCCCACGCGTCCTTCTCCTCCTTTAGCACCCGGCTGGTGTGAAGTGGGGTCTGGGGAACCTCCATCGATTGCTTCAGAAAAACACAAAGAAAAACATCTAAATCACACAACTCATACTTCACTGAAAAGACCTCAGCGAGAGCAATCGATAAGAAAGTGAGGTGCTTACATTGATCCAGGGATTATTCATGAATTCGGTGATGGTCATCCTCTGCGTTGGCTCAGTCTTAAGGAGAGTCCTAATCAGTTGTTTTGCTGGAAAAACAATTATTATTTACAAAACTAATGTATACTCGGATTGAGACGGAAAAGTGTTCAGTAAGTGACACTGTATTCATAAACTTGGGAGTAAAAATGATCAACGTTTATTTCTTTGCAGCAACTTGACGGATTGGACTGATTACAAAATTACAGGAGGAGGCCCTCGGCCGTGCTTAACTAGTAACAAACGTTTTCAAATAAATGCAGTATAATTTAAAAAACAAGTTCACTCTGATATTTAGTGGACTAGAAGTATGGTTAGATCGAATTAATAGATTTAAGTAAAGTACATGACGATTAAGTTGTGGAGTCTAAATGCAAGATAGATCCCACCACTACTACACAAAGATGGCAAGGACCTACATAGTCTTTTTTGCTCGTAAAGTGCACCAAATTACAGAATAGCCTTTTAAGTAAGAAGCACACAGTCCTCCCTAGAAGGTCTACGGCACTACACTCTGTAGTCTCAAGAGCGCTTGTGGGAAACCCACACCTATCCGTCACGTTAGCTTTTCTTTTCTTTCTAAAAGGTTTTGCATTACTCAGGAAATCAAACTTCACTTTCAAGTGTAGTGAATGTGACGGATTTCAAATAGAAGGTTGAATGCAAGCATCGGTTTCTATTTCTTGAAGTTCACACAGAGGGCAGCTTGTTTGTCACTTCATCAAGACTAATGGATAGTAATAGTATTACTTTTTCATGGCGAGAAACATATTTTATAAACAAAATTATCCTTCAATCATTTGGTTTTCAGTTATGGGTTTTAGAAAGAAGGCCAAGCCTCAAAAGTTGACATGTTTATCCTCAATATTCCAGTGGCTATATGAATACACTAAATGTAAGTATGCTGACCTTCCTCTGATACGTCAGACCACTCAGGGTTTGGAAACTCATATTGGCCCATCCTGATCCTCTTCTTCATCCCAGGAGAGATGGCTAAACCGTGGTTTGAATAAAAAGGAGGGTATCCACACAACCTGTTGGTGTAAACAACAAATATTAGTATTTTTCTGGTGCTGTATGTGAAAAAGGGTTGAGATATATTGCAAAGAAAGGACTTACAGGATATACATAATGACACCCAGTGACCACATGTCACATGACTTGTCATATTTCTCTGGGCCAAGAACTTCTGGAGCTGCAGACAGAAAGCAGGGGAAAGAAATGTAATATCAACCATTTTTAACTGTTTATTAGTAATTGAGTGGACACAGACACACATCCTTACCAACATAGTAGGGGGTGTAGCACGGAGTAGCTAAAGAGTTGTGGGAGGTGGTTTCCTTGGCAAAGCCAAAATCTGTGAGTTTGAGCAGGGCGTTGGGCCTCTTTGAGGAATACAGTAAGTTCTCTGGCTGCAGGGAGGATTCAGGAAGCAGGTCAGAAAACAAAGCAACACGAGTTATGCCTTTAGACACTGCAGTCATCCCTGACACTCCTCTCGGAGTACTCAAACTTCTAAGTAATGAGCGAGGAGACTTCAGGTGAAGCAGTGCAATGACGCAGTCGAGATACAAACCTTGACGTCTCTGTGAGCAATGTTGACGGCATGCAGGAACTGAATGGCCTCGCCGATGTTTTTCATGATGTCAGACGCCTCTAGAGAAGAGAGAAAAAAGGCTCTTTAACAAGAGATCCAAAGTGACTTTGATCTGTTGCATCAGCTAGGAGACGCACCAGCCTCACGCCCTATATGCTGTGCCAAGTGTAAAAGACTTGTATGATGCTGTGGATCGTAACCATGAACCTCCCATGTAGCAGGTGGCAGTACGCAAAGGGGCCCTACGTCGCAATAATGTAATAAAATACAGAATTGTGAGAAAGAAGTGTATTACCTCGCTCTGTGAAGGCCTGATCTCCTCTGTCCTGGATTCGACTAAAAAGCTCACCACCATCCATGCTGCAAAAAAAAAAGGTGTATTAAAGTTGAGGTCAGGATGTGACTTTTGAGGGCTGTATAATGTGAAGATTAGCCAGAGGCAACAAGCATACCAGATCAGTGTCTGATCACATGAGGCTGTCGTGTGTGAGCTCTACAGAGATGAGGCCATGAAGATGAGCGATTAGTGGAAAACTAATGCAACACGTATTACACTAATGACAAATTGGCCGCGGCAGCAATATTTCGCAGTATTGAACTAAAATCAGCAGAACACAACAAATATAGCTTAGCTCTTGTACGATTCAATGATTAGTCAAAATGACATACTAGCCCCTAATAACTGCATAAGACAGTGTATTATTCCTCCTAATTGTGCGATGGCTGTGATGTAATGGATTGTTTTGCTGTGACAGGAGCAGACACTACGTGAAAGCGACTGAACCGGTTCTTCGCAAGAGCTAAAGAAGACTGTACAATCCCAGTCACACCCATGGGAATGTTCTTTGATGGGCCCGTACACATCTTGAGTCTTACAATTCAGCAAGTACATCCATGGCAGCCAGAACCAAATCACTTCATAAAATGTTGAATTAGATGGAGCAACTTTCAGGACGTGCCACTACATGTTGTATGTAACATGTAGGAGCACATCAATGTTCTCTATCGTACGGAGCAGTGGTCCTAAACATGCCAATGTGCTGTTTCATGTTACATTGTGGTAATGTCGTCGAACAAAAACCTCTAGAAATGTAGTAGAGTATTACTAAAAACATTGTGGCGCATTACTACAATCATTATCAACACAGGTAATTATTCTTATAGCAAAACACACTTTAGACTTATGATGACAGAAAATGCCTATTAACCTTAGTTCAATACGCATACGGCCAAGTATGAGACATCCACCCCAATGAACTTTATGATCAGTTTCATTTAATCTCTTTGCTCAGAATGACTGAGTTTCAGGTCGAATCACGTGTGACTGACTACACGGGCGCGGAGGCGCTTCACCAGGCACGCATGTGTTAACGGGACGGCAGGACTCGCCAACTCAGAGGCGCACCTCTCAACCACAGCATCACTTCTTCATCCTCAAAAATCCATCACTCACACTCACACTGCAGGCAATCTGAGTTCATCTTTAGCGATGAACACGATTCAACGCGAGAGACGTCCAGAAAGGGAGGCCAACGTTGTTCACGCCAGTCTCATGATTTCCTCCGTGGTCATACTGACCCCACCCTGCGTTTCTGAAAAAATGTCTATTGGTGTGAATTCTCAGCAGAACAGAAATCGCACATCTTACACCATCATAATCTTGTTACACCCTGACAGTTTCAGTCAACATTCGTTGCATATCTTGGACAGCGTGAAGACACCATGCCAGTGGAGACTTTGCGATTCATATGCTGATAGAGATAACAAACCACATTGGAAAAAAATATATACACATCAGCCGTTTTTTTTTTCCTCCCATTTAACAGTGAAACCTTTCTCAATACTTTCCATACCCGTCAGTGGCTTGATGACCTAAACTTGTTTGAGGATTAAAATCTTTTCAAACAGGTTTGAGGCTGAATATAATAAAGAGAATTTTTTTTTTTTAACCAAACATAACTCAAATAAGGTTGAATGGTGTATTTGTCGGCGACTGCTACAGGTGTGCTATTGAGTACTTGAATCTCCAAGAATGGTGTATATGCGAATGACTATTTAAATGTCCATATTTATCGCAATTTGCTAAATTATCCAGATGACTTCAGTGACCCATTATACAACATGGGAGAATACTAGAATATGGGTCATCGCACTGACTCAATGTGTGCTGTGTCACAAGGCAAGCAGACTTGAGTGGGATATTCAAGGAAACGTTTTAGTTTCATCAGAAGAACTACTTTTCTTTATTGCCATTACATGCAGATTTTCTTCACCGAAACTGTGTCTTTACCTGCAGCACATGAGCATGTGAGTTTGAAAGGTAGACGTGACCACTACATCCGCAGAAGTGAGTAACCACAATCTTTATTGCACACGGGACAAGTTGTTAGGGTTTAGTGGTTTTAAAGTGCTGCAAGACGGAAATATAAAATAGAGGAAAAGGCACTGCACTCATTTAGAAGAAATGAGCCATTTTCTACTAAGGTCATACAGATTTACAATAATTGACCTGGCTAAAACGTGCCTAGTACACTTGAGAAGGTAAGAAGCTTAGACATTATTTAATGTGGCTTTCCAGGTCTTAAAACTGCAGAATGCTATTTTACATGTAAAGTCAAACAATAACCAGAGTATTTGATTGAATGTACATTTAGATTTTGGCAGAGCAAACTCCATCTCTAATGAATTAAATATTAAAATCCTGTATGTTTTTTATAAATATATTGGCCCATTTAACTCAAAACTAAAGCTGTTGACCCCAGCGCTATGTGCTCAGATTTACATTTACAGTTACATTCCAGCAAGTTGGTTTTGGGGCAAGACCATCTTGCTGGAATGTAACTTCCAGATCACTCTAGCTGGACGTTCACCTCCCACAAGCCGGTAGAGCCTAGTGGTGAACACTTCATAAAGAATATCTTTTGAGCCAGCCAAAAAGCCCGCGCCAATGAAGCATACGTTCTGGTCAGCACGGGCAATCAACCTGCAGCGCGCTGTGACACCGCTGTGCACGACAAAGTATGGAAGCGTCTTTTCGCCTAACTCAGAGAGAGAAGCAAATCGCAGAGTATATTGTTTTTTTTTTTTTTTTTATACATATACCAGATATATGTCCATACTTTTAAAACATGTAATGTATCGTTTGATTAATTGTTTCCCACTTTCAAAGGCAGTCTAAGTACCTTTCACGTCTAAATCACCAAACACGCAGTTCAGATGCTCAGACAATAAGACCCATTTTGTTGAAAAAGCAGAGCTAAACCCCCCCATGCTGTGCTATTTATTACAGCCCGCGATGGACCACTAATGACTCATGTGTGCCTTCAGCTTGACACCAATTGCTGATCAGATACCAGTGCTGGCAATAATTAGCAGTGAGGAAGTGGCGTGAGCAATATTTGATTGGAAAGGTAAGATCAGGCCTATAACTAAATGCAACAAATAAATGAATGGACATACATATGCTGACTGATTTATCTAATGAATGGTATCCAATAATAAATCGGGCCGTTGTCACAGACATCCGATCCTGCGCGGTTATCGGTGCATCTCTGCGATTAACCAAACTGTATCTGCTGAACGCATTCAAAAGACAGGGAACATTGATCTGCATTAATGAAAATGTCATTCACCAAGGAAAGGTATTTTAGTGTGTACGACACAAATACTGTGCACTCACCACTCCATGACAATAAGCAGACACTTCCTGCTCTGATAGAGGTTCTCATAGACATCAATGATGCGCACAATGTTGGCACAGGGAGAAGCCCTCCAGTGCAGCTCCACTTCCCTACGGGCCTTGGCACAATCCTGCAGCATCTGGACAGAAGGTCAGAGACAAGGAGGGTGAGGCTGGTAAACATCAAATATAGAAACAGGTCAATTGTAAAATATACTGCAAGTTACCACTACCGTTTAATTGCCCGTTTGCTACACACAACAATTACTGGGAAACGTGAAAGAGATCAACACCAGTTGATCAGCGGTCTTGTGGGATAAAAAAGTGAGACATCCATTCTGTACACTGGACGACATGAAACCAATTGTGGACAAACTGGGTGCCACTATTACGGTACATTACATTAATAGTAAACATAGCAGACAGAAGCACAGTACTGCCATCAGCTGGCAGAATGTTGAACAGATGTAGCAGAGCATTTTCCAATGCAGTCGTGTGTGCGTTTGTCTGTGTGGATGTAGCACCCTCTTTATGTTTCGCTATACCAACACACCATCCAACTAGAGTTATTTACTGAACGCTTTATAAGCAGATTCTACACGCTGCTCAAGGCACTGAGGAACCATAAACAAGGAAACTTCCAGCATAGCCCATCGTAGCATTAAAAAGAAGGATCATAGTGTGTCAGTTTACCTGCTCATTACCTCAAACCAAGTTGCAATACAAAGGAATAACCTGGTGAATGAAGTAGTATATCAGGATATTTGATACGACCAATAAAACAATTCTAACAAACTTTTTTTTGAGTTGAGTAATTTTGTATTTAAAATATGTAATATTTTTGCATATCTCAGGTCACACGACTACTTTTGGATGCTTCTTTTTCTCAATTCTGGTTGAAGTTTGGATGCACACATAAGACTTTGCAATGACGAGTACAAATACATTCAGTAAATTCATACTGTACGGAAATCTCATACTGATATAATACCGTCTGTACCACCCAGGCCTACTGAAAGGTCAATCCAGTGAGTCATCACTTTAACTACATTTTTAGTTGTAAGAGCTCACCGCAGGCAGCGGTCTTTCGTGGTATAAGGAAGTGATTAAGCGGACAGCTGAAAAGTCCCGTCAGCTGACAAATGGCAGTGTTCTTATTAGAAAAAAGTTAATTTGTGAAAATCACCTTTAGTTAAGTTTGCAACTCGGTAAAGGGAAACTGATGTCTGGAGGAAGAAAAATAAGACCTACCAAAAAAAGGAGGGAAACTACCACGGAAATATAAGAGCAGTGAATGGACATGAAAGACATATAGGAGATAAGAGATAACATGCCGTGTATACTTTTATACTTCTATTGTGAGTTAAAAAGTTCCTCTTACTCATTCAAATCATGACTCGTGTCATATTGGGATGGGAAGCGAGGGTTTGAGGGGGACTGACCAATAAGGAGTTGGCGTTGTGTAGAGTATATCGCTCTAATCTCTGGTTGTGAACACACAGTTCAACCACCACTTTGGGGAAGAACAAACACGGGGGGATGCCACTCTCTGCGTCACAGCACAGTCAAATAAACGCCCCAAAAGATACATGACCCTTTGCACAGAAAACATTAGGCAGAGAACAGAACTGTTGCACTGGAATCTTTTTACAATTTAACCCGCTAGAATACACAGATATAACTTCGAATGCCCCCGAACATTACAATTATTTTGAAAAAACTGCACCACGGAATGATGCCGTATTGTAAATGGGATAATCAGTCTATGGGCAGTTTTATTATTGGCACGCAGATTTTACATTTTAAAAGGGGAATGAAAAAAGGATTTGTGCAATAACATATTTTTTAAAATTCTAAAATATTTCTATAGCGGCACAAATAACTCAATGACGTGTATTGACAATTACTACACCAATGTAGTGTTTAACATTGTAGACATTAAATGATTGATTAATCCAGAACGCAGAATTCAAAGCCTTATTTCTGGCCCCACAACCTCATGGTCGTCTCAAACAGGTTTCTTGAACGTGACAATGAGTTCACTGTAACGGTCATTTCTTAGACCCAACTGCCAGTAGGAAACAAAAGTTAGATGTATCCCGGAACAAGAATCATTCAGGGAAACTAACATTAGCCCATCAAATGATAGACCTCCACACACACACACACACACACACACACACACACACACACACACACACACACACACACACACACACACACACACACACACACACACACACACACACACACACACACACACACACACACACACACCTGCTGAACAGTGGAGGTTTTGGAGAAAGGAGATGAGGAGGGCAGATGGGCGCACAATACTCAATCCAACACAAAAAGCTCCTTCCCTGCAGGACAGAGGGAGGTAGGGGGGGTTACGCTTAAAGGGGGCACCCAACCTTCACCACTCGACATGAGTCGAAGGAAAGGTTGAGGTGGTGAAATCCGAGGGAAATGTCACACTGAGGGTGATGGGGTGCAGAGATTATTGAGGGGTGACAGGTTAAGCTGGGCTTGTTCACAAAAACGGCCCAAAGGGCTCAAACGAAAATATAGTCGCCGCCGCCGTGTGGCTGTGTGTGTCAGCTTTTGTGCTCGCAGTGAAGCAGCAAACATGCTTGTGTGTCAATAGGACATGATCTGGTTAAAGACATCTGGTTCTCCTTAAAGGATCATCAGATGTGTGCGCACACACCCACACGAGTATTAACCATGTATTGAGTGTCTGTTTCTGTGTGTGCATTTAATCCATATAAACAACTGCACTGGTTTATGTGATTATTAAAAATGAAGTAGTTCATGTTGTGTCAGACTGAAGGTAACGTACATTTTAAATAAGCAGCGTGCTTCTGTGTTGATCTATTGTTGGAGTTTGCCTGGTTGCATAAAAATACATGACACGCCTGAATTTACCCAGGCAAAACAAAATAGGAGTCGGAAATTGTTTGACTTCAATGAAAACTGATTTGTTTGCAACTGCTCTGTTTTATATAAGGTATCAGATTAAAGCTCAACCAGTTCTGTGAGTAACGCTCATTTTACCTGTCAAGACAGATATCTCGCTTGAAGATTAATTCATTTTTTTGCCAGCAGGTGTCCTTGTACGCAACACATGTGTGTATATATATATATATATATATATATATATATATAAAATCACACACACACACACACACACACACACACACACACACACACACACAAGTATTTGATACACGGACGATTTTACAGGTTTTCCCACTTACAAAGCATGTAGGAGTCTGTAATTGTTATCATAGGTACTCGTCAACTGTAAGTGACGGAATCTAAAACAAAAATCCAGAAAATCGCATCATATCTTTAAAAAATATATATATTGCAGTTTATTGCATGACATAAGTATTTGATACATCAGAAAAGCTGATCACCTACCAACCAGTAAGAATCCCGGCTCTCATAGACCTGTTAGTTTGTCTTTAGGAAGCCCTCCTGTTCTCCATTCATTACCAGTATAAAAGACACCTATCCACACTCAAACAGACTCCAACCTCTCCACAATGGCCAGAACCAGAGAGCTGTCTAAGGACATCAGGGATACAATTGTAGACCTGCACAAGGCTGGGATGGACAATAGGACAACAGGCCTTGGTGAAAAGGCAGCAACTGCTTAATTATTAGAAAATGAAAGGAGTTCAAGATGATGGTTAATCTCCCTTGGTCTGGGGCTCAATGTAAGACCTCAGGGAGGGGAGGGATGAGCCCAGACCTACACAGCAGGACCTGGTCAGTGACCTGAAGAGAGCTGGGACCACAGTCTCAAGGAAAACCATTAGTAACACACTAGGCCATCATGGATTAAAATCCTGCAGGGCATGCAAGGTCCCCCTGCTCAAGCCAGTACATGTCCAGGTCGTCTGAAGTTTGCCAATGACCATATGGATGATCCAGAGGAGGTATGGGAGAAGGTCATGTGGTCTGATGAGACGAAAATAGAGCTTTTTGGTCTGAACTCTCATCCTTCTTTTTCCCCCAAACACGGCGAGTGTTTGGGGGAAAAAGAAGGATGAGTACAACCTCAAGAACACCATCCCAACCGTGAAGCATGGAGGTGGAAACATAATTTTTTGGGGATGCTTTTCTGCAAAGGGGAGAGGCCGACTGCACTGTATTGAGGGGAGGATGAATGGGGCCATGGATCGCGAGATCTTGGCCAACAACTTCCTTCCCTCAGTCCCTCATGGGTCGTGGCTGGGTCTTCCAGCATGACAACGACCTGAAACACACAGCCAGGGCAACTAAGGAGTGGCTCCGTTAGAAGCATCTCAAGGTCCTGGAGTGGCCTAGCCCGTCTCCAGACCTGATCAATGGAAAATCTTTGGAGGAAACTGAAAAAAAGGGAGCTGTAAGTGCAAACAAAACATTTCTGGAACAAATATTAAGTTTGGCTTTTCTGATGTATCAAATACTTATGTCATGCATGTCGTGTGTCATACAGATGACATCTGTATGACACACAAACAGCTGTCTCACTTCCTGATACAGGATGGGAGATCTGCGTGGAAGAATGAAGGACTGAAGGCTTTAAAGAGGAACAGCAGGGCAGCAAGAGACAAAGGCAAGCGGAGATATGGAACAGAGTGGCTGATTAACCGATGACATTATTTTCCTAAATATTTGACACGTGATTTAAATTCCGGTAACCTGCAAACACTGGCAGAATTCCCTTTTACTTAAAATATACATGTATCTTTTTTGTATTTCAGAGGTGGCTGGATCACTGAATGTAGTGGAAAGTAGAAAAAAAGTAGTGCCTTTGACAGTAAACATCATTTAGAATTTAAATTGTGGTAAGGAAGCAGGTAAGCTCATTTCCCCATTCTTCAGTTATAAAAAATCCCTATTGTCTTTTACCTTGTGTCAGAATCTACAGACACGAGTATTTAAACCAACAAATAAATGAAGGAATTAACACAAAATATATTGGACAATTTTGATTGGATATATTAGAAGCAAAAACAAATTGGGCTTTAGGTGAGTGTTTCGGGCTAATGCAAGATCAATAGAGAGCACATGTAGCCCGTTGAATGAATGAACGGAAGAGAAAAACATTCACTTCCCTTTACTGATAAAACGCTTGAATTGCGCT